AGCCAGGTTTTGATGGCTTTTCGGAAGGCCTGGAGAGAGGTGAGGGTCCAAATCCCTGCGGGGAGTTCATTCCAGAGGGAATCACATATCATTGCTGAAATGATTATTGCTTCTGTATGTTCACTGGAGATCTTCTGATCAACATTATTACTTGTCTATGGCATTTGATTAAATTTGTTTTGGGCTTAACTATTGTCACAGAAGGTGGCAGCATGTAGTTAATTTTGGCTAATGTTGAAAATGCTATGCAGCATCAGACATGGTGATAACGGAACAAAAGACTATTTGGAAATGACAAGATTATACATGATAGACTGGAAAGCCTATCAATGCACAATATGTTTTTGCTTGTATATAAACGGGGAGGGGGGGAGTAATGACAAAATCTTAGGTATTGCTACACACACATCTTAAGAATGTTACACGCACATAATAGTTATCTGGAGTGAAGGCTGACTAAGAGATTTTCTGAATTAGATCCTGTTGCTTCCAAACTCCATGCAAAATCAGTCCTGGGTTTATGACCGCATTTGAGCCCAAAAGGTACGTTGCTAAGCGAGACAATTGTTAAGCAAATTTTGCCCAATTTTACAATCTTTCTTGCCAGAGTTGTTAAGTGAATCGCTGTAGTTTTTAAGTTAGTAACCAATTTGTTAAGTGATCCTGGCTTCCCTATTGCTTTTGCTTGTCGGAAGGTCACAAAAGATGTTCACATGACCCTGGGACACTGCACATGTCATAAATATGAGTCGATTGCCAAGCATTTGAATTTTGATTACTTCATGGGGATCAGAGGTGGCTTCTAAATCCCGGCATTACCAGTTTGCTCATGCTCGTGCGCGCAACGCTATTGCGCATGGGCAGAAGCGTCCAGGTGGGTGGACGGAGCCTCCCGCCGCCGCCACTACTAGTTCAGCCGATCTGGGTGGAACCAGGAGCAACCCACCTCTGATAGGGATGCTGCAATGGTCATAACTGTGAAAAACAGTCATAATTGACTTTTTTCAGTGCAGTTGTAACTTTGAATAGTCACTAAATGAATTGTTGTAAGTTGAGGATTACCTGTACAACTGAAGCATGTTTGTAGCCTCATGGTCAGACCTAAAGGAAGTAGATGTGCAATGTTACACTGTAATGACCACTAACCTTTTTATCTTCATCCTTCAGCTGTTACTGAAGCAGTATGGACTGGAAAACTTGCAGATTGCTCTTGCTTGCCAGATCACGCATAAAAACATGCTCCTTGTAGCTGTTCAGCAGGCTGCATTTTGTCCTTCAGTGCACCTGACACTAACTGGAGATTTAAAGGTTGGCAACTTTCCCCTCTCTTCCTCCCTTTCAAAGACCAAATTCCACCGATGTCTTTTAAAAAAAACACCATAAAAATCAGAAGCAAAAAAGTTACAAGGGAGTCTTTCTTTGCTATCTGCCTTCCATGCTGTTTGACTTACATTCTACTGGGAAAATGTTAGACACATCTCTGTTTCAGATAGGAGATTATTGTCAAAGAAAAATAAAATGTGAGATTATGGGTACCTTTCTGTGTTAGCCTTATTCGTCTAGGGTATATTCCAGATATGTTGATGTCAACTATTTGAAGGTCACATCCTGATTGAGAAGGCCCTATTTCAACGATGGAGTCTTTGTCAATAGATGTAATTTCTCCATAAATAAGGCGATGGCAGATCTCACTAGGTTGCATCTACTTTATGTGATTACACACATTATTGTTAACCTTCTGGGATTTAGGAAATCTTGTTTCTGAAACTAGACATTTCTTTTAGTCATACATAGGTCTTAGACTTGTATATATTGCTTCATAATGTTTTACAGCCCACTCTGAGTGGTTTACAAATGTCAGCATATTGCCCCCAACAGTCTGGGTCTTCATTTTACCTCAGAGGGATGGAAAGTTGAGTTGACCTTGAGCCCATTAGGATCAAACTCCTGGCTGTAGGCAGAGTTAGCCTGCAATAGTAATAGCAATAGCACTTAGCCTTATATACTGCTTCACAGTGCTTTACAGCCTTCTCTAAGCAGTTTATAGAGTTAGCATATTTTCCCCAACAATCTGGGTCCTCATTTTAGTGACCTTGGAAGGATTGAAGAATGAGCCAACCTTGAGCCGATGAGGTTTGAACTGCCGAACTGCTTGTAACCGGCAGTCAGCAGAAGTAGCCTGCAGTACTGCATTATAACCACTGTACTCTAACCACTGTGCCACCAGGGCAATGTAATAATGTAAGCAGACATACAATAATGTAAGAGTCATAGGACAGGTGATTCTTTTATAGAGTGTACAAAGCTAGAAATAATATACTGTCATTATGAATAGTGGCTATTGATAGCCTATAAGGAAGCAACAGCATTTATTTATTTAACAGTGTGTCATATTATGCAAGATTAGGGTATTATACCAGCCACACCACTTTTCTTAATCCTTGCAGCCCTCCTTTGAAAAAACTAGGATACCTCCTCCTCGCCAGGATACTCTTCAGGGTCTGCCTTTAAGTTTAACCCATGTTGCTTGGTGAAAGTCAAACACTATCATCATTGCTCCATATAAGAATTTTCTGAGAGAGGAAAAGGATTGCTGGTTGTGATTTGTAGGCAACCATCTTTTTTCTCTCTTCTTTGCTCACATGGTTTATCTTTTTCAAAAAAATGCATAATATAAAAAAGAATAAAACGGAAACCAGTGCAGAGTTATCATTTAGCACATGCTAACAATTTGCCTCAGGAGATCATAATATTCTTCTTAAATGCTCTGTTAAAATTAGATTTTAACCAATTTTTGTTTCCAATTGAGCCTGGGTTTTTTTTCAGAAACAGGAGAGGATTAAAAAATATACATGTATTTAAAAATCTCATTAGTTTTCCACCTGGATAGCTATTTTCTGAGTAAAAAGCAGTGTGTTTAATATGCACATTTCTTTCAGTAACATTATTCAGCTCCATACCTATGCTGCCTTCTGGCTATTTAATGCTTTCTGGTTCTTTTTTATTTTCTGTTTTTCTTTTTCTTTTGGGAATATTAGAAGAAGCCAAATTAAAGGAACTTGAAACTGCAGAGTCAAAATGTTCAACAGGGCCCATATGATGGCATCAAGCTGTTGTGGCCCACCAGCGACCAGCAGAGCTGGCAGCAGATTTGGACAGTGAGGAAATTGGGGAACAGGGGCCAGTCCTGGAGTCTGGGGAAGGCTCTGGGTCGGAGGCAGAGATGGGGCCAGGGCCATCTGACAGTTACCAGTTGCCTTCAGAGTCAGACATCAGTGAGGCAGATGAACAGCTGGAGCCTGTTCCCAGTGTGCACATGCACAGAGTTGCCAGACGAAGGGAACAGCTAAGGAACAAGTAAGCCCACAGGTGGATGGTGAATGGCCCCTCCCATAGGGCTGTTTGCAGGAGACAATTAGTTCATTCCTGCATTCTTGCCAAGTATTGTGGCATCTGAAAGATATCGGCCTGGCCACTCTTCAAGCCTGATAAAAGTCGGTAATTGTGAACTATCTGGAAAGACTGTGGGCTGGGACTTTGCTGGAGAGGAATTCACCGTAAATTAAATAAAAGGGGTTTGTCGGGACGAGGATTCGGCTTTGTGTTGCTGGGGAAGCCTAGGTCAGAACACAAGCATTCAAGAGCATGTGCTGAGTTCCAGGACACTTACAAGGGCCTCCGTTTACAGTGACCTTTCTTTCTCCTCTATAAAAATATTCAGTGTAACAATCTGAGCCACTGAGACTTTCATTTCCACTTCCATTTCAATTTCTCATAATGTCCTCAGTGGTGGTTGTTTTCCACAGCAACAACTTGCCTGATGGTATCTGAGTGGCTTCCCTGAGTAAGAGACCTCGTTGCTCTTCTCTTTCAGGAAGGACACCTGAGTGTGAAAGGCCAGAGCAACAGCTCACCAAATGGAAGAAGTTCTACAGTTGGGAGTGAAGCAGAGGATACCTCCATGTCTCATTCCATTAGGCGATTTGCAGCTGGAGGTTGCAATTCAAAGAGGTAGCTTAAAGAGACACACACACACACCTCTCATAGTGTCAGGGGTGCATACGTGCCGAATGAGGACTGGAGAGAACCCAAACCAGCCACAGAAAACCCATTGGATGACTTTGAAACCATAATTCTCTATCCGCATAACCTATTTCATGGGATGGCTGTAGAATAAAATGGAGGAAACTTCCTTCTTGATGGAAAGAGAGAGACTTTAAATCTAAACCATATTTTTTTTAAAAAATCAGTATTTAGGCTAGGGCTAGGTAGAGCAGTTGTAAGACAATGGCTGCTGTTCTCGTGTCTGAATGCTCTCTGGGTTTAAATACCAATTGCAGAAAGGAACCTTACACCCAAAAGGTCGTTGCTCCCAAAGAGCTCTTCCAAGTAACTTATCCCTCCTCTACTCCTTTTCTGAGGGATCTTCCAAAAGGGAAGGCAGGTCTTCCAGAATATAATATAGCTCCGCCTCTGATTTTGATTTGTAATTTACTCTGTACCACTGGCATCTTAAGACAGCTAGGGCTGCTTCAAATACATCAGTGTGTTACTGCTTTGTGCCTTATAGGGCGGTCTGTGTTTTCAGTGGAGAGATTCCAGCTCCTGGTTTAGCAACATGCTGACATAGTTGGGAGAGATTCCCAAATGCAGCACTGCTTCTAGGCCAGCATTACAGATCGTAGGGGTTCAGAAAACAACATACATTCACTTGAAGTTATTTGTAAAAATAATAAAGGTGTAATATAAATAAATAGATGGATGAATGGATGATAGTGTTGGAAGAAATATCCATCTGGTTCAGTTCCAAGCTGGAAGAAAGACACTGGAAACACGGAGGCTGATTGGAAAGATGGTTTAATGACAAAGCAGAACCACCAAACATGTGTGATTCTGGGTAGCTGACCACATGGAGTTGAGAGTGAGGGGCTTTTATACCTTCTCTTGGGCTTTGCATTTGAACTTCCTATTCCACGTATTATTATTCCAAATAATACATGGGAACATGTATTATTTTGGCTGTTGTAGGGGTCATAGCTGGCTGTGTAGCTTGTCTGAGCTAAGTTTGGTTGACACCTGGAAGGTGATGGAATGTCCCCAGGAGATTGTGCAATGTGGTGAGCTCTACTGCTAGATGGTAGAGGGTTAATTCTATTAGGTCCTGAGGGGTCATTTCTTAATCCCATCATCTGGTAGCTGGAGGTCTTTTGTTTTGTAGATAGGCTGGCCCAATCTTTCTCAATGGACAAAAAATATCTGCTGGGGGCTATTAAGAAAGACTTGGGGGCTGTTTTCTGTCTCCAAGAGAATGTTTCTTTATTTCTCCTTTAAGGAAATATAATATTCTGCCTTTTTAATATTTCCTAAAATATTTCATTCTTCTGGGAGGGAATGACTTCCCACAATAGATGATAGATACTAGATAGGTAGGTAGGTAGGTAGGTAGGTAGGTAGGTAGGTAGACAGACAGACAGACAGACAGACAGACAGACAGACAGACATCACAGAAAATGGGAAACTTTCCAAGTGTTTGACATATTTGTGTACATATTTAATATACTGTAATACTTTAATTCATCCTGTTACTATAATCCATGGTNGGCTGGGGAGGGCAAAAATGAGCGAAAAACAGGGTGGTTTTTGCCCCTTCAGCCCCCAGGAGCACTCTATAGGCCTCCCAACAGCTATGCATGCCCTTTTTTGACAAAAAGGGGCAGTTTTTGCAAAAAACGGGCTGGTTTTTTGCTCATTTCCCCCCCCAACCCCCAGGAGCACTCTACAAGCCTCCTAAAAGCTATGCATGCACTTTTTAATGACAAAAAACGGCCTGTTTTCATGAAAAACGGGCTGTTTTCGGGAGGTCTGCAGAGTGCAAAAACTTTTTTAAAAAATTTGCCTCTTCAAAACTTGCTGAGTCTTACACTCCGGTGCGTCTTATACTCTGAAAAATATGATAGTTTTTTTGGGTGGAATAGTTTTTATTAATTTGTTTTCAAATAATCCTATTCTGTCATAATACGTTTAACCCCTTTTTCCTTTAAAGTACAGCTCTGAAGAACATGTATTTATTGGAATTCCATTCCTCCCTTGGCCTAGTATCTTTAATTCCTAAAGCTCTAGATCATGCCCTTCAAGAGTTCCAACAAATCTGTAGGCCAAACACAGCCAGTGCGGCCATTCATTTGGAGGAACAAATACTTCTACTTTCGCTGGATGGATGGATGACGATGGAAAATCCAGAATCTTTTTATGGCGCTCAAATTCAGAGAGATGTATGTTTTTGTTCTACATACAAGGATTTGGATGGGTTTCTGGTGCTAAAAGGTCCTAATTTCATTAAGTAGACATATAGGATTGGGTTAATAGAGATAATTCAAAATGTTTGTAGGCCTATTATAGATTCTATGTAATTAAATTTCTAATACGGAAGGACTCGTATCTTGATACAAAATTGAATTTAACTGCAGTGTTCCACTGATACAGTGGAGTAAAGCCATTTCTCTTTGTGAGCTGGACGTGGGGTACTATTTGTACTTTAAGAGAACCTATTTGCTGTTTATGCTTAAAAGTAAAAAAGAACATCTCTTCCCATAATCATACTTGCCTGTTGTCCAGTCATCTGAAGGTTCTTGTTCCATCTTCTCCTATCTTTCAATCAAATATTTCCATGATATAAAATAATGCCTTGAACAATAAAGTATCAATCGTAACATCAGCACAACAATCCATTGATATTCTTTGAATTAAACATTGATAAATATTATTCTTTCATGGTAGATATTTGCAGATGTTCTGGTTGAGAATCCTCTTATTATAAGAGAAATCGTTACTTTAGCCTTGAAATCGGTATCAGAAGAAGAACAGCGACCAAGTAAAGAAAAACAAACTATTACTTTGAATGTCTTTTCAAGACTCCTTGAACTCCTAACTCTCCGTCATCGGTTGATTGAGGCAGCAGTAGAAGGGGCACAACTCGGCAGGTTAGCACAAAGGAAATCATTGTAGAAATTCAGCAATATTTTTTTTAATCTAAGTCTTTTTTGTACTATTGTTTTAATCTTTAAAAGCATAATGGCAAAATCCATATTCAATGTAATAATTGTCTTCTTGCTTCAATTCTCCCAAATCACAATTGACATCATCTTACTGACTACTAAGTTCTTAACTGAAATCACTATTCCTCTCCTTCCATCCTGACCGAGTATAAAGTCTGATCCCATGATCTATAGCTGGCCCTATTAGTTTACTCAACTGAAAATCATGGGAAAGCCATTATTTTAAGGGAAGCTCCAGATATTTCAATCTGAGCTGTAACGTCAATAATTGATAATTGCAGTTGAATGCTTTTGATTAGTACTGTTTAAATGTGTTTAACAAATCAAATTATACTGGTTGTTTTTACTTTGGCATGTTCATTAGTTAGAAAATATTACAAATATAATACACCAAAACCTTCTACTTATCTTTTCCTAATAACACAAACTGCAACTTGGCTTAGCAGGGAACAAGCAGCATGTTGTCTAAACCTAGAACTCTGGTTTTATTCCATGCCAATCTAGCCATGGAAAGAATTCAAAAGAAATAAGCTAGAATTTCTGATGCAGTGATCACAGTAATCAAATCACAGATAAAATTGCATGTAGTTTTTTTTTAATTTGTGGTAGGTGCCAGTAAAAATTATCTGAGCGGTGGACAAAGTGAAAGTATGGATTGAAGTATTATACAACTATATTTATTTTCTCTGGGTATAAAACTCAGAAAAAAAATGACAGGAAATGAATGTTTGTGTTTTGCGTGAGCAGAGTGACCACTATAAGCGGTTGGTTCAAATATGTACATTCTTTTTCTTCTTAGACTGTACAAAGAATTTGCAAAAGAAATGGGCTTTAATGAGTTTCATTTATACTTACGGCCTGTGTACTTTGAATGTGCAACTCACAAAGAGAAGGCTGACCAGTTCTCACCAATATTCATTGCTTCACTTCTAGAAGATCAGGACCTTAACCTGGACAGGTAAGTCAGAAGCTTATAAATGTTTTCAGCAGATAAACATGTTTTAAATTGTTTTCTTTTCTTTTGCAGATATATTCCTTCTAACTTAATGTTAGAAATCCAAGATATAGACAATCAAATTGGAAAATTTAGCTTTTGCACCAGGGAGAGCATTCTGCAGGTAACTGAAATATTCTTTATTCCTGTCTCAAAGCTATTATATTACTTCATTTTACTCTTCCGGCCCCTTTCCTATTTGTTTTATTTTGTACTAAATCAGTAGTGTTTATGACTGTACTTCTGACTAGAGTTGTACAGATTCCATAAATAACACACTACTTTGTAACTGCAGTTTGAAGATTTAGACCTCTTAGCATCTAGATTTTCAACAAATCTTGAAGCAAGAAATGCAATTCTAAATTATACCAAAAGTCACATTATGCAACAATTTAGTCATTCTGAAGTCTTGGGAAGGGGGTTAACTTCAGTGAATCCCCCCCCACCCCCTTATATGCTCTGCCCAAAACAGAAAAAAGGATATTTGTGTTCCAAGGAAAATTCAGTGTTAAATAGTGGAGCAGGTTTAGCAGAGGTCTTGGGTGGAAAAATAGATTACTGATTTTAATTGTATTGTATTGTATTGTATTGTATTATTTGTATGCCGCCTTTCTCCGGGAGGACTCAGGGTGGCGAACAATTCAAGGGGGGAAAAGGGGAACATAAAAAGACAAAATACAAATAATAAAAGTA